CGGAGGACGAGCCCTCCTCGGCGCCGACATACGCCTTTGTCCGCGGTTGCCGCGCTCGGCCTCCGGGGAGCAGCGGGGTCACAGCCGCACAGGTACCAGCGCCGCTCTACCACCCGGCGGGAGCACCGCCTCCTCTCCCGGCCACTGCCCGCGGCGGCTCCTCCCCGCCCCCTCCTTCGCTGCCGCCTCCTTCTGCGACGCCTCTCCTCCTCTCCCCACCGGAAAAGAGGCGCGCGCTCCCGGGACCCGCGCTGCCGCCCGCCGCTGGGCACGACCCCGACCCAGTTCGCGCCAGCGACTCTGCCTGTGGGCAGGGGCGTGAGGCTCGCGGGAGCGAGGTGATTCTTGGAGGAGCAAGAAAGCTCTAGTCCAAACTCCAGCCGCAGTAGCTACTCTTCTGCACGCTAACCTCCACCATCCTCCAGACAAAGCCGCTCTGTGCACCCTTGGGGGCCGCCCCATGGATGGAGTGAGGGAAAAGAGCAGGGCTGAATATACTTGACCAACAACCAGAGGGAAAGTGCCCCAAAGGAAAAATCTTAAAAGGAATCTTTTTCCACCTTTACATCTACTGGCTTTCTTCTCACCTCACTACCCCAAAGGACTATCAAGCTTTCTCTTGGCACACAAGTGTCTCATTTGTTCCAGATACGCCGGAGCTAGGAAATAGGTTCCTGTCCAAGAAAGTGTACTCTTGGAAGATTGTTTCTGGCCTTCAGTTCTTTAAGCCATGATCCCATTAAGAAGCCCAGAGCCTACATACAATGTGTTTAAATATCTGTAAGTAGTATATCAATTAGTAGATAAATTATCTTCACCTACCCTGAAAACTATACCTTAAAAACAACCCGAAAGTCCAGGTTTATGTACAGAATTCTCGGACACCTTGGGAGTTCCATTCCATCCTGGAACATCCCAGAGGAGAGAGCCAGACCAGGGCCCTTGCCTTTGCTTCCTCTGCCAGCTCCGTCCAGGAACAAATGGGACGTGTGCAGACATCCCAACCCTCTCAAACAAGCTCCCTCCACACCCTCGAACAGGCCATCTTTGGCCATCGCTCAGACCTAGGAGTGCATACACCAGATAGGACTGATTCTGGGAAACAGCCTGCTCAGAGCCAGGAAGTCGTCTTGGGATACTCGGGGAATCTCAGGGTCCTGAGCACATTGGAGGAGCAGTGGTTAAAGGTTCGGCTGCTAACCAAAAGTGGTCAGTTGGAACCCCGCAGCCTCTCTGTTGGAGAAAGATCTGCAGCCTTGAAAACCCTATGGGACAGCTCTACTCTGTCCTTTAGGGCTGCTGTGAGTTGGAATCAACTTGAAGGCAGTGGGTTTTGGTTTGGTTGAGCACCTTGGAGGAGTCCCTGGGTGACGCAAAAGATTATGCACTGGGCTACTACCGAAGGCTGGCCAATTCAATCTACCCAGAGATGCTTCGAAAGAAAAGCCTAGCAGTCTACTTCCAAAAGATCACAGCTGTTGAAAACCCTATGGAGTACGGTTCTACTCTGAAACACAGCGTCACCATGAGTCATGAGCAACTCCACAGCAACTGGTTTGGTTTGGTTTGGGCACCCTGGACATGGTCTGAAAGTAGGGAAGGGCACAGACTCTGGATGAACACATCCCCTTGGCCCTAGAGATTTTTCACCCCATGAGGAGGAGCCAGAGTGGGGTTATCTAGAATTCAGGGTCACCCCAGGGTCTTTCTTGCTGGGTCTGAGGTAACTACTATCTGACACCCCTACAGACTTTATCATAGGGACCAGTTCTCAGGAATCAGTTTATCTGAGCAGAAATTTCTTAATGGCCTTAATGGTAAATGGCCTCCATTTAACACACACTATTGCATTAAATCTGAATAGCACTTCATTTGACCAACATTTTTTGGGGATTCAACTTTGTATACCCAACACTGTCCAGCGCTGTCTAATAGAACTCTCTGTGATGATCAAATGTTTTAGGTGTGTGTTGTCCAATACAGTGGCCACTTGTGGCTACTGTAGATTTAAAGTGTAGTTAGTGTGACTTTGTTACTGAATTTTTAATTTTAATTAAGGTAAATTTGAGTTTAAATAGTCCCGTGTGCCTAGTGAACACCATGTTGAGCAACACAGGTCTAGACACTATGATGGGTAGAAAAAGCAAGAGATTATCACCACCATTGAATAGCTTTATATCTATACTTTAAGCTTGGAAGACAAATTGTTGCTTCTGTGTTTAGGTTGGTGTAATTTCTCACATTTCTCTTGAACATATTTAATGATCATTATTCCCTAACAAAATCATCATCATCATCTGTTTTCTTTATAAAGATAAAAGCCACTTACTATAGCAATATGGACATTTTTAATAACTATATTACCATTATTAAAGCCACAAATTATCATGTGAACTAAGAGTATGTAAATATTTTGAAGCCTATAGTTGTAATCTCTTTCTTTTTTAAATTGTGATTTAGGTGAAAGTTTACATAGCAAATTAGTTTCTTATTAAACAGTTAATATGCAATTTGTTTTGTGACATTGGTTGCCAACCCTGCGATGTGTCAACAGGTTTCCTGTTTCCATTTGTACGGTTTTCTTATCCCTTCCTGCCTTCTCATATTTGCTTTTGGGCCAGCGTGCCGATTCGTCTGTTAGACATGATTGAACTATGAAGCACATCCCTCATGTGTGTTATTGTTGGCCCTATAGACCTGTCTAATCTTTGGCTGAAGGGTAAACCTCAGGAGTGACTTCAGTACTGAGTTAAAAGAGTGTCCAGGGTATAGTTGTAACCTTGATTGTAAAATGCTTATAATCTTATGGAAATGTCCTTGGGTAGTACAAATTATTTTGCTCTTGACTACTCTGTCATATAGGGTCAATATGAGTAGAAATCGATTACACCTCACGCAACAACAACTAACCTGAAGATTGACAGTTTGAACCCACCCAGCAGCACCATGGAAGAAAGCCCTGTCAATCTGCTTCCATAAAGATTACAGCCAAGAAAACCCTGTGAGGCAGTTCTACTCTGTAACACACGGAGTCACCATGAGTTGGAATCAATGCAACAGCAACAGGTTTATAGTTGAAATAAATGTACTTGTCCTGTTTTGAACTTTTTTTTTTTCTTACCATAAATACTTCCATCAGTTTGGTACCTACCTTCTTTCTGCTTCACAAAAATTGAGAAAGTTATATAAAATACAGAATTAAAAGGAAAAGAGATAGCACATGAAAGTCCCTGGGTGGCACAAATGGTTAAGCACTCAGCTACTAGCTAAAAGGTTGGCCTTTCGAACCCACCGATAGGAGCCTTGGAAGACAGACCTGGCGATCTGCTTCTAAAAGGTATAGTCTGGAAAACCCTATTGAGCAGTTCTGCTCTGCACACATGGGGTTGCTGTGAGTTGGGCCTGACAACGGCAACTAACAGCAACATGAATCCAAAGAGAAATATGGATGAAAAGTTTTGTTACATGCATAATTTCAGCTGTTCTTGCACAGAAATTACTCGTACCGTTTTTGAAAATAAAGATTATTATAAAATTGAAAAACCAAACCCACTGCCGTCGAGTCAATTCCTACTCACAGCGACCCCATAGGACAGAGTGGAAGTGCCCCATAGGGTTTCCAAAGAGCAGCTGGTGGATTTGAACTGCCGACCTTTTGGTTAGCAGCTGAGCTCTTAACCACTGTGAAAATAGAAGAATGTTAAGGCAGAAAGGGCTTTAGAAAGTATATTTTTCAACACCAAGGCCTTTGAATGAATGCACAGACCCCTCCATTATTAGTTTGTACCAGCATGGGTTCTGAAGAACATAATAAGCAGTCATTTCCACACTTACAAAGACCTCAGAGGATGACACTATCTGCAATGCCCCGTCTCTTACCCTCACTCATACCAAATTCTTGGCTTGAATGAAGCTTCCTCAGTCCTGTCCGCCTCTTGCCAGACAGGTCTATCTACTGCTGATCCCCCTCAGGCCTCAAGAACCTCATACCATTTGAAGTTGTAGGACTTAATAGGTCCTGTCAAAGTTTTCACTACTATGTGATTGTCCCACTTTGGAAAATCCTACAGAAACTGAGAAATCGTTTGTTAACTATATTCATGTACACATAGTCCAGTAAAGCTGTATTGCATCAATTGCTGCTTTAAGGATGGTAGATGGACTACATTCCAATGCTTCTAAGCTGCTAAGCCTGTCTTGCTGTATTATGTAAGGCTTTTAGTAGATACCAGAGAAACACTCAAAGATGCTTTATTTTTCCTCTTTATATAGAGACTGTATTAACTCTACATAGGGTGTGTGTATATGCATGTGTGTGTGCAAATGCATGTATTTATATAATATGTACATATGTGTGCGTGTATATATACACACATACATGCATATATACAGTCATGCGTCGCTTAACATCCGCAATACCTTTTGTGAAATAGGACATTATGTGGTTTGGACGTTGTTTGAACGTTTTTATTTAAGCATCTCAAACGAGCTTTGTACCTTAGCAGTGAGTGATTGTCAACATGCTGAGAGGGATTCACTTTTGTGTTTGGTCCTTAGTCCACGTCTTTAGCAATTTCTCCATATCTGATAAATTTCCCTCTCACATTTTTGTTAGCCTTGAAGC